CGTGCAACGAAGGACACACTACCCACGTTCACAGTACTCCACCGCCTTACTCGCGTCCATGGTGTAGTCCGTCTTCAGTGCAGGTCTCCTTTCCCTTAGTACTTGAAGGCGCCGGAAACCAACTTTACGAAGTACCTCCGCGGGAAGTCTCCACTGAGTTGGAGAAAAGCCTTGAAAGCGTGACTTTTTCTGTGCATGCTTTGATGCATCCGATTCCGCAAACTTACTCCATAGAATGTAACGGTCGACGCATTACTCACGCAACCAAGTCTGGTAGAGGCTTGGCACAGAATTTCAGCCACAAGCTGTTTGCTCTTCCACGTAGCAGCATCGAATCAGCGGTACCATGCACAGAGGAAGGACTACAAAAGCTAACTGCAGCTTTTCGGAAGGAGTTCGGATGCTCGATAGCAGATTTTTTTGGAGATGGATCAGCTTCAGTAGAGTCGTTTCTCACGTTAAAAAAAGAACATCATGGCTTGAGCGAGCGCCAAATTCGAGACTTTTTATCATTCCAATTTAATTGGGGGACACAGCCAGACGCAGGCTTCGGCGAGAGACTCGTTTTAACTGTTGGCGAGCGATTGTTTCTCACTGATGCAGAATACCGTAAGTATCGCTCGCGTGCGGAATTATTAGCGTATATGAGACGCAACGCGGAGCTTCGTGGAATGCTATGGATGTGTCAATTCTCCGATTGGGAGAGAAGCACTTTCGTTCTCCACGACTGCACGCCCGGACTGCTTGGCTGCTGCTTGCATCCAGCAGACCCTTTCTTTCCGGAATCAAGTACAAAACCGTCTAGACGCTTGGTCTTCGATGCTGAGCCAGCTGCTGCTACTACTTCTTCTTCTACCACTGCAGCAGGCCCAACGTCTTCGTCTAGTAGTTGTGCTGCAGCTGAGTCAGCAAATGCGAACAAGCAGCTTCTTGCACACGCTCTTCCCAAAGGCGTTCCGCAACCAAACGCTACGGTATCCCAGCCTGTGTGCCTTCTCGGATCTCGATGGATGAAGCACAAGACCTGGATGCCACGAAAGGACGTGCGATCTGCAGACTTGACAAAAGACGCACTTGTAGTACATTTATCGAACCCGTATGTTCCGTTCGAGCGTATGGCGCTTGCAGAGTTAGTTTCTGATCCGGAAGAAAATGCCACGCATTTGCGTACTGTTGGATTCGAGTGGCTTCCTGCTGAGTTCGCCGCTATGGAGTACACTGATGTATTGAGCGATGGCCCGAAGTCAGTGCTGGACGGTATGTTTACGAAACTAGTGCGTCAATCAGCAGAGCCCTACGTACATATGTTGAAGTACTGGTACAACAGAGGACGCGAAATCACAGCAGAGATGGACGGCATGGGAGCTGCGACGCTGAATGTTAACGCAGGTTCTAGCACATCTGGACGTAGTAAATCTCAGCCAGGAGGGCCTGCAGCTGCAGGCATTAAGCGCAAAAGCACGTCAAACGAAAACGAAGCTACTACTTCCAAAAAGCAAAAGGCTAGTACAACTACAGGCGCTGCTCATACTAGAATTGACTCCTCGGACTTGCTGAGCAAGAAAACCCTCATCAGCGCAAAGGCGAAAGCTGCAGGTAAAGCACAAGCACAAAAGGAGAATAAAGCAGCAGCAGTCGGCGCTTCCTCGTCTAGAAGCAAGTCTGCTAAGATCACCGGGATTCGCCTTCTAGAGCACTTACGGCCTCATGCTGCATCCAGTACGACGGGTGCAGCGCGGTCTGGTGCTGCAGTGCAACACGCATCACCGGAGAGCCAAAATGTGAAACGCGACAGGCAACTTCTTGGCAGCGCCTCTTCTCACAATTTTGAAAAGCTTTCATCGTCTGCAAACAAGCCGCACGTGAAGCGGCATCGCCCAGCGGGTAGCAGCGCCAAATACTCATCGATGAAGGCAAGTGAAGAGAAAGAACCAAACGCCCTCTCTGGTCTTGTCGCTCCTGATTTGTTGCCTCGTAAAGTATCAAACAAGGAGCGCGAAGCGGTCAATAAAATGCGTGAGTCCGAGCGAGAGTCGTATGTTGCTGGTGTGCACTCTGGATCTGTCTTGGAAGGCGGCATCATCAAAGCTTCTGAAATAATTGCTGCCTTACCCCTAGACGACACGACCGCGTAGGCGGTAGGCATTTCGGACGGAGCGACAGATGATCCTTATGGCTTCAGCAATTTTTGTACATTCAAGATGTCCCAGCCGAAGACTGGAGTTCCTCGATCTGCTGTCTAATGCGTGTTCGAATTTGATTCATACGCGCAACTCACTGCGCTGCTCCTTAAGTAGACGAAAGCTCTCAAGGATATTCTTGATTTTGTACTTTTCGTAGCTTCTTCAATTGTTCTAGCTAGATGGGTATCATGCGTCATCAATTGTCGATCCCTAACATTTCCTCAACGTGGATCCGGATGCAGCAACTTCGCTGGCGCATCCGATGAACGAGCAGGCGGCAGTATCGGCTACAAGTACAACCGTCAAGAAGAAGGCAGATTCTCGACAGAGTAGCAACAATAAGATGAAGTCTCAGGCTGAGTTGTGGATGAATCCTCTTTCTGATATAGAGGAGGCTGGTGAGAATGGTTCGCGCGACGATGAAGCATCGGACTCATCTACTGGCGATAAACCTCGAAAAAAGGTTTCTTCAAAAGCTGCCGCTACGACTAGTGACATCATTTCTTCACCTGCTGACATCAAAAACAAACGCTTCGCGCCCCCGTCTCGAACAGCTAACGACTTAGGCAAACCAGAAGACCACACTCGGGAAGCAGATTTTGGAGATTTGGCGTTTTCTCCTGCCGCTGACGTCAATGACAAACGGCCAAGTCAGCCTCGCCTGTCACTCGGTCTAGGTGGAGGCCGACGTCAGTCCACAGACAACAAGAAAAGAGGTGTCGAAGATGATCTGCGCAAGGATCTTGCTGCAGACGCTGTTCATACAGGTGCCGCATCTGATGCCGATCTTGATCTGGCTATGAAGCGAGATCGCGAGGATCAGGAGTGCAAGTTCAAGCAGCCGAACGCGGCAGCAGCTGCCGCGAGCACCACGTCCAAGGAAATCGACAGGGAGAATCCTGCAGCGGATACAGTGGTTTTGTTTAGAGGTTGTTGCTGTTTCTAAAAGTCAGGGTGATCGACTAGAAGTGATTCATTTTTCCGTAGATAGAAAAACAACGTCAACGCACATCATGATTAGGCAAGTAACCGTGTTGAATCTTCATACGACAGGCGCCGTCGATGCTTCCAGGTATGGAATCCAGCGACGACTACGCAATAGGCCTAATGGGTGACCCTTTTATTCTGAACAACTATCCTACGGTTCTTTACGGTGCTGACGACATACCAATCAAAAGGCCCCAGGCGTCCCGGTATGCAAAAGCGTGCGTTGCAAACGGTGACGGTGGAGAATCCATCATGACGGCAAATCGCACTCGATTTGTTGGTGATGGAAACACGTCTGGCCTAGTCGGTAACAGTGAGGCTGCGGCTGCAGCTGATGCGAAAAAGACAAAGATGATGATTGAATTAATGGAACTTGTCGAAGGCAGTGCGTTTGCTTACCCTGCTCTAGTGCGGGTGCTGAGTTTGCTGTACTTTCTATTTTTTGTTTTCAATCCTTTTTAGAAAATGCAAATCTTCCCTCAAGACGCATCAGTCTCTGTCTCTTTCGTCATTCTGAGGGATGACTTATTATATTTTCTGACCTGTTGACTTCTCAAGAATGTTTTATTCAATTACTCAACTTTGCCCAGATACACTCTCAATGTTGACGGTGCGTTCGTCCTCATGGTGAATCGCGGTTGTAAAAACTTGTTCAGAGTAGACAAGGACACTGGTCTCCCGCTGAACGATTTGAAACACTACGCAGGAGCGGTGTATCATCTGATGCTGGAGAAAGTAGAACAGCCGTCAATATCGAAGTCTCTAGTATCGGAGAGGCAGTGTCGAAGTCAGCGCATGATCGATCGGAGATTGCAACTCGAGCGACAGACGAAGATGCGGCTGCAGAGGGCACAACATCAAAAAGCTGCACGCGAACAACTAGCGTCGTTTGTCACTGATCGCATCACGCAACGCCAGACAGAAGCACAACTACGACAGGACCTCATTAGAGACGGAATGGCTGCTCCTGATGATTTCGACACAGCGAACGCAAAAACAGAAGAAGAAATCATGGCAGACATGATCATGCAGCAAGGTACAAGCGAAGGCAAAGGAGCTGATGGAACAAAGATTCTTGATAGTGGGTCTGGTAGAAAGTGGCAGCTTGAGGCAATCGACCAGAAGCTCCTTCAAGCACGTGTTCGCTTTTTACAAAGCGACTCCGCCAAAGCGCAACAGTTCCAAACAACTTACAGCTTTTGGAGGCAGGCAAACTGGATCCGGTTGGAAAATGAGAACATGAGGAAGGTGTACGATATCAACTGCAGTCGATGTGGGACTTTAGTTGGTTGGGCAAAAAAGAAGTTCTTAAGAGGAGCTTTTAATCCTCCAGCTTTACTTCTCTCAACAACAGAACCTTGGACAGCGCCAGAAGATGCCCCATCAGTGCCTGGCGGTGGAAAAGAAAATTCTCTCGCTGCGTCTTCTTCTTCTAGTGCTTCTAGCTCTAGTACGCGACTCCCTAATTTAGGGATGGGGCAAAAAGCAGCAGCAGCGAAAAAAAAAAATGGGCCGACCTGTAGCATGGTTTCGCAGCCAGGGCGACGACTAGTTCAAGCAAGCCGAAACGCGGGGCCAGCGTGTCACATGTACTGCCCGGAAACTGACGAGGACGAAGCGCGGCTTGCTGGTCTTCCGCCTGGAACGATTCTGGATGATGATTTTTGTTTCTGCGGTCACTGGCGTAATGGGGTTTGCTACGTCGATGACACTCCTGACGCTCCCACTTGCGAAGAGCCAGACTTTTGGGGATGTGGTTTTGCATTCGCAGAAGCGTGGTGCCGCTCACGCTCCAGGGTCTGCTGTTGTCTGCTTCCTCGCATCGTACCTCTCACAAACCGGTGGAGAGGAACGACTCGAAAGCCGATTTTGCAGAACAAGTGAATCGTCCGAAGAAGGTACTTCTTTCTTCTAGGCTATCTAGTTCTTCACTTTGTTTGCTGGCGCGGTTCCCGCGCTGCAGGTCGTCCCGCAGCCGCGCGCCGCGCCGCCGACACTCAGCAGATTCTTCTGCAGATTTTTTTCCTTCGCCGCCTTTTCCCGTGGTTTGTTCATTCCGCTTCGCCGCAAAGCCTCAGCGGTGTGAGTACTTTTTCGACGCTGCTGATTCGCAGGCAGAATCTTCCGAGATGTGCAGGCAGTGGGTCGCTTTCCCTCAGCGCAATCGGCAGCAGCCCCCCCAGGATTCGAGAAGGGTTAGGGGGCCGCGTCCGCTTGCCTCCTGGCTCTCTCGCAAACGTGGCGGAGCAGGCTCGTCCGATGGCCTTAGCGAGTGCCTCCGCCTTCTGGGCTAGGTGCATCCCTTTCGCTGGTCGCATATCTTAAGCGCCCGGCGCCTGCTGCCATCGCCAGCTATGCCGATTCGGTGCGAGATTCTTTGCTTGCCGGGAGCGGTTCGCGCGGCACTGTGTGCCCAAGGATGGCGGCAGCAGGTGGAAGATGCTGGCGGGCAAGGCGTTGCCGCATCTACTCGACCAAGAGCGGACGAATCTGCTGCGCGCCCGCCTTCGGTGGCGCCCCGACTGACAGCGCAAAGCGTGCGCCTTCCTTGTGACTGCTGCGAAACTCTTCGAGCACTGAGCCGAGAACGCGCGAACGCGAAGGCATAAGCCCCAGGGGCGCGAAGAAAGTGGAAGAAGGCGGCAGCGTCTTGCATGCGTGTGCGCGATGCATATTGCCGGGAGCATGTCGGACAGCTATGGAATGAGGAGAACACTTCGCGGCAGCTTGGCGCTCTTGGTTGCCTTTCATGCTAAGAACAGCGGGCGGCAGTAGCTTCCAGCAGCCCAGTCCCGCGCGTGCTCGGGCGTCAGATGTCTCGGACCATCGTGGAAGCAAATTGGAGCCGGATCTTACAAGCAGTCGAGCGCGGGAGCTCCAGCTGCATGAGGAGCGGGGGCGGGAGGCTCGTCAGAACTTCGCTCCAACATGGTGACGCGTTTTCTTTATCGCAAGCCTGCAGAGGCGTCCCGGCTGCCTTATTATTTGTGGGCGTGGCCACCGCGTCGCAGGGCGCAAAGTGCTGCGGAAGAGCCCGACCGGGCCCGCGCGTGATGGTGTGCCGACTGCGCTGCTTGCAAGGCAACGCGCTCGACAGGCGCGCCACTGAGGGCCTTGCTTGGCGATGCGTGCCGCTTCGTTATTGTGCAGGCCAGCCAGCGACGCGGAGCGGAGGCGCTCCCGCCACCTCGGTGCGACTTGTGGCAAGTTGTGCATTCGGGCCGCTGTCTTTCGCTGCTGGTGGGGTTGTGCGCTTGTGGTGCTGGCCGCCGCAGTGAATGCGCTTCGTTCATGGCAGGCTTCGCCCTTTCGCTTTTGTCCTTGATCAGTGACATGGGTTTTCTTCTTGGTGTTCTTACTTTTAGTAGGTTTGTTAGTCAAACAACATCGAGCAGCCATTTGCTCCTTTATCGTTTTTCTTCGTTCAATTAATGCACAGGAGAATTGTGGAGCCAATATCTTAGCAAGTACGTGCTCAATTTTCCTCCTCTCTCAGGGCGAGTGCGTTGCGCTGGTCTATATTGTGTTTGCGGGGTGGTCTCGGTGGGGTGCTTTACTCTTCAACGTGTTGGCAATGGTTTTCAAGAAGCAAACCGCTCTCGCGCGTCTTCTGGTGTGAATCCAGGAGGGAGCTGAAGTCCCGCGTGGCTATTGCGCGCTGTTGCTTTTATCTCTCTCTCTGTTAGTCTATGCAGCGTGCGAGAGGTGTCCCTAGGAGTCTTGACGAAGTTAGAAAGTTGTTTTTGTCTGTGTGAAAAGGTCTACGAGACTAATGCGTCTAAGCATGCAAGAATTAGAAGGAGGAGTTGTAGCGAGGACTCCTTCTCCTGCAGGTGTGCCTGGTAGACGCTCGACTACGTGAAGCACATATCAACTAACTAGAACTCATCGGCGTTGCTCCTATAATGAGAGCGGAAGAGCTTCAATTTTACAGACAGGGGATAGCCTTTGGTGTGACTGCACGTTGCTCATGTTGTAACTCGCTACGCCGCCGTACTTCACTACGTTCAAAAAACCACAGTAAAAAGCTACTTTTTCTTAATTCTTTCGGCCGCGGCTATAATCAATAATCACGACAGAAGTGCCCCGCGTCGGCACATTCAAGGTGCTCGATTAAGGAAGATAATAATTATGCACTAAGCACTCAGGCTCAGGCGATGGAGTTTCTGCTCTTGGCTGTGCTCTCTGAAGAGTCGAAAAGAAGTCGCTTTTTTTACACTCATGCCCAGACTTTTCAAGCTGCTACGATTAGCAAGTACTTATGAAAAATACAAAACTACAAAAGTAGAAATGTCGCCTTCTCTTTCATGCAGAACGATGCAACTAGATCCGCACTGAATGCATGGAAACCCTTGCAAACTGTCGCTCTAAAACTATGCAGATTTACAGATGAAAGATCAGCTCGCGAATTCAATCATGTCATGTGAGTAGGAAGTAAAAATATTGCATCTTTCGAATTTAGCAATGCTTGCGCAGTTAGTTCCAAACCCATATAGTTCTGGCTCGCACAGGGCATGATGGCACTCACTGATCAACTCCGAGGCAGACCAAGATCGAAGCTAGCGGCTCTAGCCTGAGTTCATTTGATCACCTGCCTCACAGTGAAATGATCGGCGTGCTTCAATTATTTCAAGTTCAATCTCAAGCAGGAGCACTTTGTTGAAGGATAGGCATCACCTCCACACGAGTCCCAATCTAATCATGGAGACTACTGTAGTCGACAGTCGCGCTTCTAGTCAGCTTCTCAAGTATGGCGCATGAGTAGGCTTACTACAACAACTATAAAAAATCTAGCGGCGTTCTTACTTTTCATTTTAGTTTTTGTACTGCTGAAAAGTGCAGCTTTCTGCACTAAGTTCAAGAATATCCAGAAAAAACGAAGTATGACATTTCTACCACAAGTTTGACACTGGTGAAAAGTTCTTGCTCCTGATCTGTTTCCATTTTTTAATGAGGTATGGCTTTTTCTGAATCTAAGACAGACTCCATGTAGACGCGAGAAACATTTTTGGCGACCTTCTATGAGCGAGTCTGTTTCTTAAGCGCGTCGCGCTGTCTGGTATATGCGTATCAAAAAGATGGAGAAAAAGAGCGCGAGTTCTCGCCCTGTCTGAGAGTACGCTGAAACCATACGGGTTCTTAAGGTGAAAGCGCATAGTTGATCTGATCGCGTCGGCCCTCTCGGTCGAACGAGATGAGCGAGTGAGGATATAGTTGCTGTGACTTGCCTGTGCGTTGTTTGGGAAACGTAGAGGGACTCGCAAAAACGCAAGCTGTCGTAGTATCGTGCTGGAGAGACCTTAATGTGCATCAACGTTGAGTCATCTTCTCTTGCCTAGTTGTAGTCCGCATCGTACATTCATCGAGGGACCACAGTCATCGGGTATCTTCATCAACCCAACAAACTTCCCACTTTTTTAGGTTTGCGTGGTTTGTTATTTTCCTCTTGTTCTCTTAGTAGAGGTTCTGGCATTTTGAGCGGTGTCTTATGCAGCTCCCGCTCTTCGCGCAGTTGTTTAGATTGATGCGCATTGCGCTATTGAATTCAGTCTGTTTTTTCAACGTTCCGCTCTAGCATAAAGAAAAGTGAAAAACTTGAATCTTTTCGAAATGTGAGAAGCCTTCGCGCCTTGCAGTTCTTGTTGGTGCATGCTCGAGAGGTCTTGCGCTTCCTCATCTGCTTATCTCAGAATCTGTTGACTCGACCGGACGAAAACGTGGGCCACTGCGTTAAGCGACACCTCAGCCCTTCATCGAAAGATTAGCACAAGTGAACTAATCGCAGCACGAAAAGACACTGACTCCTCTAATCTAGTAGGGCTCTTTTCGTGTTGCTATCCTGTTGTAGCTCTGGCGTCGATGAAGCGTCTTGTGTTGTATCAACACTCTAGCCCTAACTTAACTTAGAACCACTGGTCCCAAGCTCCTTGATGTATTCGGATGCCGTTTCTGCTGCTGCGCCTGCTCCTCCTGCTCGACATACTCGCGCTCCATTCACATTAAGGCTTATTTTAACCAGTTTCAAGCGTTCTACTCAATCACGCTATATCTCCTCGGCTGTGAAATATTTTACTTGTCTAGTTTAGTTTTCATAAAACTAGGAATCTTCGTTTTCCTCTGCTTGGCTTTAACCATTTGCTTTGTCGCTCTCCAATATTGGTTTCTCCTCGCTCACTCATGCACTCCGTTTTCTCACTCATTTCTAATCTTGCAGTCCGGCAAGTGCGGGTGGAAGGTGCTAATTGCGGCAAATTTTGGCATGGGTCTCTCCATTTTTGGATGAGGGTAGGTGGAGCTATGTAGACTCCAGCTGAACACTGACAAGACCACTACAACAGCTGACAGTGATAAAGACAGCCACTTGCGTGTCTTGTGCATTAAAGGGCAGCACAGTAAGCATTTGAACACAATAGGAATAACACACATTGCAACTGCGACGAATCTTGAGAAAGTAAAGCAATAAACTATAGCAGCTGGGAAGAGCCCAAGAACTTCTATAGCCAGCAATCAAGTGGATTGTTGATACGGATGCTTAGTGTTCTTCTCTGTAAGAAGAGTATGGCTTCTGGTAGTGCTCCGTGGTGTTTTTCGATGCAACCACGGACTTCAGATCTTCGAGCCTGCAGCAAAACAATAGATCTATACTTCTCAGATCGAAATCTTCTGGTTTTGAGATGTTGTTTTCATGCATATTATCGCTTATCACCATTGATTTTTTAATGATTAAATAACAGTAATCCTTAATTTTTTAACTCTATCCCCATGGTATGGTGTTGGAATTCAAGGGGACAGAGATGGCTGACAGAGATGGCGATCGGCAACCTACACATCAACATCTTCTGCAACAACAACATCTTTCGTGGAGGTTCTCAACAACATCTCCAAGAAGATGCCGACTGTGCTCTCCAAGTTCGCGAAGACAGCGCTGGTCGCCGAGATGTGCCAAGCTCTCAATCCACGGGAGAACCGCAACAAGATGATGAACGCTTTCATGGACGAAACGCTGAACGCAGAGCAGGAGCATGCACCGGAGACGGATGCGGGACACCACGCCACGGATGGCGTCGACCACGCCTCGAGAGCGGCTTCTGCTTCGCTGGTAGAAAAACAGGAAGTGAAGAGGCAATCAGCACAACTGGAAATCTCTTTTGGAGATTCTACAATATTTTCCTTTCCCGAGGTCATCAGTGAACGTTCACTAGGAAAATTTGCCGCGAGCTTAAGAGAGTTCATCATACACGACGCGAATGAGAACCTGTTAAAGCCATTAGTAGCTAATCTCTGCGTCCGGTTAATGAAAGAAGCACGTTTTGCAGCAGACAAAAATGATGAGCAACTTGCAGACATGAAAAGCCAAGATCATTTCACATTCAGTAATGATGGACGGCGGGAGTGTCACATCTTCGATTTCGCATTTATTGTTCGCAGGTTTATCCATGACGACAATAAGGGCAACAACCTGTGGCAGTATGGACGCCTAAAAGCCGAAGAGAGTTTGTTTTCTAAGATACTTAGTGGCGATGGTCATCGCGTGCAAGCTTGTCGTAAGAGGTTAGAAGACCGCATGACAGAATATGATAAATCGCGATAGCCATAAGATTAAGATTCTTATACATAGGAAGTTGTTGTCCTTCTAAGAAAGTCGGAAGAGAGAGAGAAAATCTCCAGCATTACTGTATCTGCAGGTCAACAAAGAAAGCAATGCGACTGAACTACCACGCTTTCAATCTATAAACTTGTTAGACGTCTGACTATACCCACGAGCACAAAGAAACTGAGGTAAAAGACTGGCGCCTTCTTTCTTCCCAAACAAAACGATGCATGTATGATGCTGAAGAGTTCGCCGATTGTGATTCTCCACGTTTCTCTCAATGCCCCATGTTGCGCGTACATGTGACCGCTAAACGGAGTTTGTTCATGATTTCCATGTCCCGTGGCATCGGCTGATGAGTTAGAGTAAATCTAAGACATGCTCAGACAATGAGACAACTTAAGTCCACTACCAAGCATTTGAAGCACACGAACTACTTAGAAAAAGAGTAGAGCTTTGCGGCAGTATTCCGCAACCGGCGGTCTTGGAGGTGAGTTAGAGATCACAAATTGGTTAATGTGGTTCCATCGTTTTCAGGTCGGCACACGATCATGTTGCATGTGCAACAAATTTGAAACTCTGCTGGAGCGAGTAGTCGTGATGAGGATCATAATCAGCTAACTTGCTACGCTAGGGATGTCGGTGTTGATAATTATCTCGATCCGGATAGTATTCCACTCCCATGGTGATGATCAAAGCGGTGACCTCGATGCTGTGAACCTGTTGGCCTCTGATTGCTGTGGTCTTGATCCTGGTAACCATTTGGCTCTTGAGCTCGGTGGATTTCTCGTCTGAGATCCTTGATCCGTTTCACGATGGTGGTGCTGGTCTGTTCGTTATCATTCTCCCCAGCAGTATGCTTACTTAAATGCTGTCAGAATAGATTGGTGCTATCTTGACGGTGATGCAGCTGCAGTCGCAGTCGAATGCAATTCAAGAAAAATGCGAATGCTAAGCACATGGAGATACCCAGTCTGATATTTGTTCCACAGTTCGGGACTGTTTCATCTCATATGGAATTCTTTTGACTATCTCACGTTTACATGCTTATTCCACACATGATTGGAGTCTGCTCTTGCTCGTCAAATTAGCGAACGATCACTTGTTCCACGAATGAAGAACAGAGTGTCGCTATGAAATAAAGTCGCAGAATTGAATTACAATCTTATCCGGGATTGGGAATTTCAAGGCTTTTTCGATATTGCAGCCGCATGTTGGATCACCACAGTAGGGTCCGTATCCAAGATGTAATAAGCAATGAAGATAAAAATCAAAAGAGAATTCGAATTATTACAAATAATTAACAGATATCGGGTTTGAGAACAAGAGGACGTCGGGGTAGTGAAGCACTGATCCCGAGGAAGAAAGGGGACTACTCGCACTAGCTATTTTGTAAATCCACCGGTATCACATGTACATCTTTTCGGTAACTACGAATGGCAATGATTATGGCGAGAGACAAGAAAGTGGCCTAGTCCACACGCCACCGTAGTCATGTAGAACAGCAAATCTCAGGCTAGAAATTCGCCTACTGTCTTCCAATATGATGGTAGCTGCTAGCGTGAGTACTGTGACCAAGGTGAAACCTGGCAAAAAGCCTTTTTCAGTGCTTTCTTGTGGCGATGGTGGTGACAACTCGATCCGCGGACACTACGTCAGTGATGGTGTTGCCGCGTATTACGCACAGGAAACGTACCAAAACCCGCACGAAGACCGGGTGCGCCATGTTTTAGCACACTGTTGGGATGTTTGGGGCCTCCAGCATCTTATCTTCCGACATAAGACTTCAAGAGATTCAGCAGGAATATTCTGGGATTTATGCGCAGGAAGTGGGGAAGTGACTGAAGCATTTCTCCGGCATGTATGTCCGAACCCACAAGCCTGTCGTGTAGCGAAACGAACCAAGAAAACTGTTCAAGAAAAGGAGGAACAGGTATGGAACCTTCCCGCACACTGCCATCGTATCATTGCAACGGACCCTTTCACATTTCGCTTGTATGAAAAGCGCTTTGAAAGATCGGCCTACAGGGTTATTGAAGGGGAGCACCACCGCGAGCGCGATGGCGATGGTGCGAAAGTAAGAAAATTTTCTTGTCTCCCGTTATCATTCCAAGACATAATACATTGTGGGATAGAAGACGCAATCGCACCAAAAGCAGACAAAGATGATGAAGACGATCTGGAAGTGCAAGTAGATGAGGGACAAAAAATTGACTCAACACCAGACCACGATTATCCTGAGTGGTCGTTGTCACCTGCGTCGTCTTTATCAAACTTCATTGTGGATTTAGCTGTTTGCTCCTACGCTCTACATCTTGCAGATCCGAGGCAGGAGCTGCCCATGGTCGCCATGACATTAGCTCGGCATGTGCGCTTTCTGCTGATAATCACACCGCATAAGAGACCCCAGTTGTTAGCGGAGTGGGGCTGGCAGAAGGTCGGGGAAGAGGTTGTCGCGAGAACGAGGGCAGTACTCTACAGGAGCACGGAGTTGATTGACGCACATGACGACACCGAGCTTGTGGCAACGATTGCGAAGGCGCGACCTGGCGGCGGACCTCCGTGAGAGCCAATTGAAGTCCAAAAACGCCATAATCATACACACCCCACGACCGCCTCGAACTGTCTACCCTGATCCTTTTTTCGCTGAATCAATAAAGAGAGCCTCCTTCTCAGAGGAACCTCCATCATTGGACCCGCCTAGGCATCTAGTCCTTGGACTGCATTTTGACGCATGATGGTTGTTGTTCCCGTTCTACCACTGAATAATTCAGGTTCTGGCAGGATCGATCATCTGGTGTCTCAAATACTTATTCGAAATAGATGGCTAAAGCTAAAGGAAGGACAATGAGGAAGAAGAACAATAGAGATCAACGTATAGATTTACTTAGATACTATCCATTTCTTTTTGTTTCTTATTCTTTGTCGATGAATAGTACCGACTACCATGGCGCTACAAGGACAGAGACGAACAGAAAATCTGAAATTATTTTAGATCTAGATACGATCTCACTGCTCACGCTTATTTTTACTTATTTCCAAGTAAGTCCTCCGACATACTACGCGGTCCTGTGCCCGCAACACAGAAACTTGATATCCAGGTGAAGTTTTTCCGTAAACGCCCTTGTTATTGTATGCTCTACAATATCGATCTTCTAGTAAAGAAATTTTTGAAGATAATGATAATCCTAAAAGAGCCACAGCCCGGGAGGGGTTTTTACCGCAGTGTAGAAAAAAACATATTTATTTGACTGCAGCGCATTTGGTTTAACCAATTGAAGATACTTTCACTCTACTCAGTATTTGTCTGTCAACACCGTCTGCAGATGCGACATCACATAGACATACAAGAAAGATGGGCAAGAATAAGAAGGAGCAGCAAGAGCAAAATAATGGAGGAAATGGGACGTCTAACAAACGCAAACCTAGTGGCGGAAGCACTACCGCCGCTAGCGCTTCAGCCGCTTCCTCCTTGACTTCAGGTAAGGCTGGCCCAGCGAAAGGAGGCAAGGGGCATCGGCAGCGCGGCGGCGGCACAGTCATAGCAGACAAGGGACCTGTCGAAACGCACAGCGGCATCGTCCTAAAGTCTTGGCAGCGGTTACCATCTCAAGTGCTTCTAGAATGGACGCAAAAACAGAAGCGACCAAAACCAAACTACCACAATGCTAAAAGTCATCAGCCTGGCGTTTTTCGAAAAAGAGTGGTTCTCGCAGATCCGAAGGAGGATAGATCAAAGGTACTATTGTTGGTATGTTGCATTTATCCTGCTCCGCAATCTTCGACTCGCTTTAGAATTTGATGGAGCTTGAGTATCGACTATTTGTTGTACTAACTTTATCCTTTACCTGCAGAAACTGACCTTGTCTTTGTCATTTTCTATCGGATGTCCAAAAAATCAATGATTTAGTTGGCTTCTTTACCTTCTTTTTTCAGGACCTCGTCTTCGCAGTATGGGAATCCAAGCTGCCGGCAGATTCTGAGGCTTTGGCTAAGGAGGAAGCCGCTCTTCTTGCGTTATCCAACGTGAACCCCTCACTGCCACTGGAGCGTGTGGTGCCAGATCCGTTCCGAGAATTGTGGTTAAAAACTACTGCCGCAGGACAAGGGAACGGCAAAGATCAGTCTTCAGGATCAGCGTCTACTGAGCCTCGAACTGTCGGGGGAGCGGGTACGACTCAAAACACAACTGCACCATCGGGGGGCTTGCAGAATGAGAGGTGGCACACTAGTGAGTACGAGAAGCGGCAGGAGAATGAGCAGTGGCAGTTGCAGAAGACGCGACAGAAGAACGAAAGGGAGGTCAAGAAAGACTTTTTTGCGCAACAAAGCATACAGCCAGTCTATTTTTCGCGACGCATGCGTGATTCCTGTCTAGAAGCGCTTAAGACTTCTGTGTCCTCATCTGCAACCTCATCATCGTTCAGGACAAGCAGTGTCACGACATCTAGCACGACATCAGCATCTTCGTCTCTAAAGCGTCTTCTGCTTCTCTCCTCACGGGTGGAGCCTGAGAACGGTGAAGACGAAGCACTTCTAACCGTCGATGAGAACCGGAACCTCATTGATAGGGTTGTGGGGGAGTTAGGGTTTGAAAGAGAAGATGTCACGGCTGGAGTGGCGGCGTTGCGGTCTGGTGGCGGCTTCTCCCCTAGCAGCTCAGAACAGGATCGCTTTAGCCTTCTGCAGCAATGGCTTGCACTGAACGTACCAGAGGACGCGCTACCTGACAAGTTTCAGATCAAAGGGCAGTTTCGGGGCACAACAAACAGTGGCGTGCCGGGCGGATCGATGTCTTCCAGTAGCAGCAGTAGCAGTTTCAACCCTGCAACTTCTTCTTCTCCGTCCACCAGGGCTTGTGGTATTGACCCAGCGCAATCTTCCCAGGCAACAGGCGGTATCTTGAGTGTGTCTCGCCAGCTGCGGGCATTGGCTGAGCAGAGGAGGAAAGACTTCTTGCATTCCTTTCGGATGGAGGTTCTATCGGCATTGCGCAAAACCGCACTGGACGAGGATGCAGCCACTTCGGTGGCTGAGAGCCTCCTTTGTTCTGCTGAGATTTTTTCAGAAGCGTGGCGAGAACAGTGCGGAATCGAAATTCTCACAGCGACAGTTGACAAACGCACTGAAAGCGAGAATGACCTCGAAAATGATGACGAGGAGAGGCAACAAAGCGAAACGGATAATGAGTCGCTGCAGGCACTCTGCGATATCATGGCTGACGCACTCGCCGATGACGCAGCAAGTCAAATTGAAGCTCTACAAGGTTCCTTACAGAAGCTTTGGGACACAACGGTTGGAGCGATTCGCGCAGAGCGGTATCGGCAGACAATGGCGTTGGTACAGCAAGCAGCAGACGAGAGAAAAAGGCAAGATGCGGCCGCAGCTGAGAGGGAGCGGGAAGAGCGAGAAGCCGCGGAAAAAGTAAAAGAGCAGGCGGAGAAGGGAAAAAACGGTTGTGGATCATCAACCTCATCTGGAAACTCGAAGCTACACGGCAGCTGGTTCAATCTTGACAATTTGGCGACCTCAACGTCTTCTAGTTCATCTAGTAAGGTAAAAGCGGCACAAGAGCACCTTCCAGCGTGGAAAGCAAGGACGGAATTTTTACGCCTTGTCGATACACAGCCAGTGACCCTGGTGTTGGGTCAAACGGGTTGCGGAAAGTCGACACAGCTGCCTCAATTCCTCCTTTCTGCGGCTAGTCCGACTGAGACCAGGGGGACGCTTTCGACGGTCGTGTGCACACAGCCACGACGTCTAGCGGCAATCAGTTTAGCCCGACGCGTGAGCTTCGAACGTGGGGAAGACGGCAGTGTGGGTCATTGCGTCCGTGGCGATGTCTCGATACCGAAGAACAGTCGGCTCGTCTTCTGCACAGTGGGGGTGCTGATCCGGAAGTTTCTCGAAAATTCAATAGATTTCACGCATCTCGTGATTGACGAGGCGCACGAACGCAGCCTAGACATCGATTTCCTTCTGTTGTTGGTTGCCAGGTACTTCAAGCTCAGAGGCAAACGCATCGACCTTGGAGCTGTGAACGACGACAGTTCTCGGAAGAATATAGGTAGCAATAAAAGCAAAGGGAAAGGTAAGCAGCGCGGTCGCGATCAGCCTGATGGAAGTTCTGAAAATACTTCTGCACTAGCGTCATCAACAGCGAGCTCTGGACCGAAATTCAAGCTCATAGTCATGAGCGCCACTCTCGACCAAAAGATTTTCGATCTTTTCTCCACCGCAGACAAACTCGAGATTCCAGGGCGGACCTTCCCTGTAGAAACTTTTTACGGCCCAGAGGAGCTCCGCAAGTACGGTTCTCCAACAGCTGAGCAGGACGAAGCGAGGAAGGAAGGCAGTGGCAAGAGCAGTGACGAGAAAATAGACTACAATGGCATCGGATCGATGGTGGAGATGGTGCAACGAGGAGATTACGATCACGGCGACAAGAAGTACAGCGACAAAGCCACGCTGATTTTCATGCCTGGCGCAGGAGAAATCTCTAAGATGTGCGAAACGCTGACAAAGCGCTTTGGACTGCCTCACAATCATGTGTTGCCGCTTCACGGCTCACTGAGTGCCGCGGAGCAGAAGAAGTGCTTCGAAGTTTTCTCGACGAAAGTCGTCGTTTCCACCAACGTCTGCGAAACATCGATCACGATTCCCGACGTCACATGCGTCATTGATACCTGCAGGGAGCGACGCCTGGGCCTTCGGAACGCAGGAGGTGCAGGGAATATGGTTGGAGGTGATGTGTCGGAATTCGCGCCACCGTCCAGGAGCAACGCTGATGCGCCGGGATGCCAACAGTCTACCGGTGACGGAGCAAGAGGACATCTTGGCGCGCAGGAAATGTCGACATTGCGGCTAACGGAATTGCAGGAGCAGCTATGCTCCAAAGCGAGTATAGAGCAACGAAAGGGACGTGCAGGACGTGTTCAGCCTGGTATTTGCATCCGCATGGTCTCTAGGAAGTGTGCAGAAAAACAGCTTCTAGATAATGTACCAGCCGAGATGGACATACTGCCACTCGAGAACATGCTTCTGCAAGTACTGGTTGCGCTGCAGCCGGGCAGTCGGAGTCGAGTTTTGCTAGTTGGAGAAAGTGACGATGGTCAAGTCGATGCAGAATCACAACAACTCTCGTCGCCAGATTTAGAGCCATTGCTTCGAGACTGTTTACGCTGCGCAGCCTCGCCACCTGCAGAGGATGCCATCCGTGCAGGCCTACGAGAGCTAACAGCGCTGGGGGCGATTGAAAGCGTGAAAGTGGATGATCATGCGACTGCCACTACATCAAATAGAAGGGCGATCCGCGTGACTGGGCTGGGTCGGCATCTCGCGCGGCTGTCGTGTGACGTTCGCATCGGAAAGCTACTAATCTATGGGGCCATTCTCGGTTGTCCACGGGAAGCTGCTTCGCTTGCGGCGATGCTGTCCGTTCGAAATCCTTTACTGAGGCCGCGACCCGGCAGCGATTCCGAGTCGTGGGAGCGATTGCGGCAAAAATTTCGTCGCGCAGTCCTAAGGCCTGGGGGCGCGCGCTCCGACCACTGCATGCTTGCGGCGTTGCTCGACATATACAACGATTGGGAGTCGCCACTGTGCACACTGGCAAGTGCGGCTGGCTTCGTACTCGTGAACGATTTGCGACAAGAAAAAAGTTGGTTGAACCGACTTGGAGTCAGTCTCGAGTCCCTGAAGGAAGCTGCCAAATTGCAGCAGCAGCACCTTTCCAGTTTGCGCTCTTTAGGCTTTTCAGTCAGGTCCAACGTGTCGTGGACGACCACGACAACTACTGGCAGTAACAAGTACACTATCGCTACATTCGGTTCCGGAACAACAACTGGCACCAGTAGTATTACAACAACAACTACAGCTTGGTACATGCTGCGTGCTGCCTGCGTAGCCGCGTTCTTTCTAGTGAAAGCGAAGAAACCCCAAGCGACGTACAAAAAGCTTGCTGGCGGTGGTACCATACAGGAGCCCTTGAACCCCGCTGGAGTGAAGTATTTCCCGCTGCAGCGCGACCCGTTCTTGTTCAAGGATAAGATTGTCGACCCAAAGAACCCCTTTGGGACCAAAGACGAGACCAAACACGCCAACACTCGTTTTTTTCTCAACGGCAATTGTACCTTTTTTTCCGAAGCTCCCAACGGCAACTACATGGTGCACACCGACGTCTTCGGTTCCCGGGATAAGCTTTTCCTCGAGCACGTGTCTGAAGCTGCGCCTCTCGCAGTTTTGCTACTGGGAAACTTCGAGACTATGGATTTCCTCGACAACGGGGTCGTTGTCATCGACAACGGCAAGCTTGTGTACACAACAACTGGCGTATACTCCATAGAAGATGCGTATACCAGCTACAACAACAAGGGACCTGGCGAGAATAGTTCATCATCTAGGTGGACAACCGGAGGTGCTGGTGCAGGTTCATCGTCGAAAAACGCTGCAGGAGCTAGCATGAACACCTTCATTAGTCAATTGGTGGAGATGCTACGTGAGGAGATCCAGGAAAACGTGCTCAGACGAAAAATCGAAGATCCTTCTTGGGACGTCAGCAACAACGCAGTCGTGCAGGTAGTGAAAACTTTGCTAGGCACGGACGGGATGGGATGTTAGACTGCGCTTCACCATTAGATCAATCTTTTCTTCGCAGTTATTGTTACCTCGGGACCTTCTACTCCTTTCTCTTCCACATCTACGCATACCGATACTTTCTTCGCTTTTCTCTGTTCTCCAACTCGTGATTCATTGCGTTTGATGTTCCTAGAACCTGTACCTGAATCTTCAGTTATCCGTATCCCCATTAGAAGCTTCAAACTTCAAGGTGCGCCTTGCCCGTATGAAAATCCAAATATGCATGAGGCAGACACACACCTCATTCTCCGCGAAAGCAAGGAGAAGATCCTGTTGTGCGCTCCTGCTCGCGCTTGAAATTAATAGAAGATCCTGTTCTTGTGCGCCGACGAAATTAGGAAGTAGAAAAAGAGATGTCGAAGTTTGAGCGCGAGTTTCACATGGAGGATGACCTACATTGTTAAGTGCATGAGCTTGAGCGCCGAAGTTGAAGGAGAGAACCGTATGCCAGCGTCCTGAGTGGCTTCTTCCTCTACTGCTATGTTCCTTTTGATTGAGTATGACGAAAAGTTCTGCACCAGACTACAGTTGTTACCTCAAGTAATGCTAATGCATACTGTCATTTATACCCTCAATTTATATGTGAAATCTTGAAACAGAAACTCCTACTCCTCCTCTGTACTATCTTTCATCGGGAGTAGCGTTGAATGTTGCTCGATCATGAGAGAGATCGTCTTTCGAGATGGATCACGGAAACAAGACAAGCAACTTGAAAGTCTCATCATGAAGAAAGAAAAGGATGCGCCGTCATAAGAAAGATGAGGCTTCTTTGTTCCCGGAGCCTCGTGCTCTGTTTGGGACTTGTTGCACGGTTATTCCCTCTGCTGGACGTTCTTCATGATCTTGGTGTTGTTGATGCTCAATGCCGGCCAACCGACAGCAACAACAACTCTGGAGACCAGAATAAGTTTGAGGATGCTGAAGAGGATTTCGCTTTGCCGGAATCCTCCTCAGCAAATCAACCGCGCCCTCCGCCTCCTGGCGAGGATGAAAGCATCACCCAAGTGTTGTTTCACCAAGAGAATGCGTATTTGTATCGCGATCCCGCTACGAACATGCAGTACATGCGTGCGGACGACTACCTCAAAATGGACGAAACTAGCCTGCTGTCGGAGAAATACCGCGCAAGGTTGGACTTTACGAACTGGCGCGAGATGTCCACGTACGACCAGGAATTGTGGACAACGCACGCAAAACGGAGTTTTCAGCACATTTACAGCACTGGAAAGTGGGGATTCGGTCGCGAAGCGGATGAGTGGGACGAATTACACTCACACGAATGGGAATGGGACGCTGAAGAGCAGAGACATCGAAGAAACAAGCAGATGTACGCAAGGCACGCGACATTATGGCGCTGCGGTTTTTTTGGAGTCGGTGAATTACCGTCTTGTTCTTCGAAGTATTTGTTTCTCACATCTGCACCTCCTAAAAAGCATAAGAAGGCGTAGAAATGGATTACAAAAGGGATATTCATGACCCCATTTCTTCGTTTCATAGTATTCTGGCAGTGATCCGATGCGTCGGATGGGTACAGCGGGTAGCGGCAGCGTCGTGGAGCACACAGAAGGACTTCGGCGTACTCTGAGCAACTTGATCTTGGAGCTAAACCTGAACAAAATGTTTGACTTCGCCTGTGGCGACATGATGTGGGCTGCTGAGTTGGTGAAAAGCGTGAACGCAAACCACCAGGAAACCGGTCGCGGCCCGTTCCACTACATTGGCATGGAAATCGCACCTTATGAAGCAAGGCGACACGAAAAACGCTTCAAAGACGACCCTTTGGTTCACGTAATCAACGGAGATTTCTCAAACTTCCGGTTTTGGCGCAACTTTTCCGATATCGCTTACAGCGAAATTGACTCTAGATCCTCGTATCAAGTGGAAAGTGAAGCCCAACGAGCGCATCAAGAGGGGTCTTTGTTGTTCATTCGCGACGCTCTTCAGCACGTTTCGATGGCGCAGAGCTGCAAATTTTTTCATAATGTCTACCGGTTCCGGCGGAACCTGTACCCGGGAGTCCGGTATCTCCTTCTCGGGGGTTACGATACGGGACAACCAAATGAGCGGGCTGTGCCCACACCGGGAGCCTGCGAGAACAATCCGACGACATGGCCCTACCGTTTGCCTGGTTTTATACGCCATTTTCCTGAGGAAGACCGCCCAGAAACACTAGAAACCCGCTTCCCGAACGATGCTGAAGGCAAAATCGTCGAGCGCATTCTCCACAAACGGTTATTTCTCTACGACATAGCGATGTGGGGCGCAAAAACGAATAGTACGACTGGTACAAAAACGTCTAGAGAACCTACTGGGTGGTCTACCACTGCGAGTAATGTTTCTCCTGCCGCATACTTAGATGAGGAGGATTCGTTTTTGCAAGCCGAAGGTGTTGTAGAAGGTATCCAGAGTGAACGAGATGGCTCACAAGGAGGTAGGATTCCCGCAATGCCTCCTGTCGTAGTGGCGAAGAAATTCCGAAACATCAACGACGGGACCTTAGCAGAATTCGACCCGTGTCTTGTCTAAGCCACATCCTAACTACCTCGTACTAAGTATTAGATACATGGTAGACCAGAAAAAGTACCTACAGCTACAAGTTAGTAGATGTAGATCTCAAGAAGTGTCGTGCTATTTGAGTTACAACATTTTTGAAGATTCATCGTATCCTTTCCATCCTAGCCTTTTCTTACTTTCCATCCTAGCAATAATCTTTCTTGTGGTACTTATTCAATTAGTGCACGATAGTCGTGTGAAATATCTTCTTACAACAGCTTTTGTTCTTTCTTTCTATCTCGATTCTGACCCTGATCAACGAAGACAAACTCGCTTAAGGTTTATATAATATAGATAATATACGCAAAGATGAGTTGCTTGATACTTCCAACAACTTCCATGTCAGCTTGCGCGTTATTGTAAGGTAAGATCATCGGCACCTTTGAAGAGGAGTGATGGGGAAGGACCGCTGTAGACTTTGACTTGGCACTCGTGATGATCTGATGACCTACCCGCCTAGTATCAAAGACGAAAAGCCGGTCGCGCTGCAGGAGAAGTAAGGACTTACTTAGGTGAGAGGACCTCACGTAGAAGATGTTAAGGTTAATACGAACAGAAAAAGATGAAAAAACGTGAACAACGATCCGAAAGTGATTCGGGGAAGACCACGTTTCTTGACCAAATGGCTTATTGAAATTCCAGAAGGAAGTAGAAGGTTTTGTGTTATAAAAGTAGGTCTAGAGGTCCTTGATGCGGCAACTTTTGATGTTTGAGTTTTGTTCAGGCCGCTGCATATCGAGAATAGAAATTTGAAGATGAAGGACTGAAGAAGATGTCGTGACACAATCGTCTAGTAGGGTCGAGAAATCGCGGCCCTTAGTGCGCGGAAATGTTTCCGGGATGACGTGTGGATGAGAAACAGGAGACAAGCGCCGCCAGCACGCGACGATTCGGAGTTTAGGCCTACGGAGTTCTAAATTTGGGCGGTTTACATCAACGCATCCGCGAGCAGCTGCGGCAGTCGACACTGCAGCTACGAACCATTTCCACGAGAAATCACGTTCACCTGGTATTGCTCAGAGCTCTACAAGTTGGTTCGCTGAAAGTTCAAGAACAAGATGGTGCTTCCAGTCCCTGGAATCGAATTTTTAGACGACAGCGTCGTCCCCGAGCCTTCAAGGAAATACTTCATATGGCTCAGATATGCGCTTATTACGGAAATGGTCCTCGCGGTCTTTCGCATGTGCCTTGGTACTACATTCCCATACCCTTAAATTCAAAACAGGGGTAGACTAGAAATCGACTAAACGCCGTCTAGTCCTTTCAGCGCCTTAAATTGTAAGCGCATTTTTGTCTGCGGGCATTATTTTTCGGGATATGTTGCACATCTTTTCTTGTTTTGCGACTTTCGTCACAATATTAGATGACGTACGTTTGGATTTAATGATCAACTGACACGGGTCCGACTGAACAAGGACCCAAAGAGAACTAGGTCCAATACAATCGTAACTACCATATCCAGGTGACATTGCGGGAGCGTTATCCGACATAATATGTATCCTCTTTGGCATATTTTTCATGCGCAACGATGAGGTCATAGAACAGATCTATCGCTATCTGAAGAACACGATGATAGCAATGTGCTGCGGGGGTGGTACGTAAACACTAAATGTAGCAAAATTAGGAATACCTTTACCAGCTTATTTATTTTTTGAGATTGAGATTGTCCTGAAAGATTTCAAGGAGCTGCTTCATGCATATAAGGTTTATACTGATCGGCAATTTATTTTTGTTCTCTTTCTTTCGTTGAAAAACAAGTCACAAAAATGTACCTATGTAAAGCGAGGAACAAACGGATGAACATGAGTAAGTGTGTCAATCCAATATATAAATATTACAGGCGGTTTCCGAGTTCTGATGCCATTTTGCTTCCTCTCGGGTTTAAACGGAGTCTTCAACCTTCTCATCTTTATCCAGTTTCCGGTCCTTGTTGTGTACTTCTTGGTTCCTAGTACTACTGGTTGTAATTATTTGGATACTATTAATGAGACTTCTGCGTCCTGTACTCGTACTATTTCCGCTCCCGTCACCTCAAAAAAAGCGAAGCTAGTCTGAATCTTTTTGCAAAGTTGATCATGACGTAGGGCCGACGCACGAGCAGGGTCTTCACTGTGTTTGAAAGAGAAAGGACGAGAATGAAAATGAAAGGAATACTATGTGGGACGATAGATGAAACATCTTCTCGTTCTATTAATTTAGTTTCCTTGTTACCTTCTTGGGATTTTCATTTTCTTGGGGTCGATACCTATGTATCTGTACATATTAACAGGTATACGATACTAACGTCCGTGTTGGGTCTCGTCGAGCTCTTCTGCGCGTTTTGCGGGTGGCAAATCTACAAAAGCGTGAGTAGTTATCAGCTTGGTGGCATGGGAGGCGGTTTCGGCGGCTTCGGTGCTGGGGCCAGACCCGCCGGTGGGAATGCTGCGGGAGGTGGCCGCGTCGGCGGCGGCAGCCCAGGTGGCTCAGGCGGACCCGGGGCAGCCCCAGGCTTCGGTGGCTTGAATGCTCCACCTGCACAGCAGCCGGGTTTCCAAGTTTTTCAAGGTCAAGGACGCAGACTCGGCGACTGATCATCGACGACATGATCGAGCATCAGTTAGAGTCTACTATTTTTCCATTTCCATACTTCCGTAGCAAGCATTTGAGGCGCACTAGCCAGCTGCAACAGGGTTACCTTCAACAAGAACATCATACGCACGGCATATTACATCAGTAAGGAGAAAAGAGAAGTAAGACAATTTTTTTTATGCCAGAAGAAGGCGGAGGGACGTCCAACGAAGAGGGGCGACGACGTGATCCGAGGGGTCAATGACTGTGTCCTCTGTTCCTTCACACAGAAAACCTCCTATGAACAAGAGGTCTGTGTTAGCCAAGTATCAACTCATCCTCGGCCAAAACTCAGTCTACTTAAGTATGTCACAATGTATTCACTCGCGCAGACACGACAAATGATTCTCATCTTCATTTATTTTTATTCTATATTTTTATTTATTCGCGCCCGCGCGCCAACGCTATCGGACTCGCAATCGCAAGATCTCCGGGTTTATTATGGGTCAACAACATAAGATAAAGGGGAAAGCAGGCGCCTCCTTTTGGATCTTACGCTTCTTGACGCACGAACAGCAACTTTGATGTGCATAGTACACGCCTGGAGGTGACACTCTCATTCATGTCGTCGGGCAGAGAACCGGCTGGCATCAAGCCAGATTGGTGCTTTGTGTAGTGTTTTTTAGTACAAAGATTGAAAACAACAGCAATAGGATACAAACTGCTACAAGCACCACCAAGCAGTGAGCATCCTGTCGCGCACCTGAATATGAAGCCTCTCAAGAATGTTTCACGAAGTGATAAAGACCTCGCCATGAGAGAGGGATTTGTTTAAGAATTGCAAGGGACAGAGGGAAAGTCAAAAAAAGAAATTAGTATGTAAACAACATATGCGAAAGAACGTTTAACATATTAAGTTCGAAATTAATAGTGAGTCTGAGCTTTGACAGGAGCATCTCCGCGTTGCTGTGTAAGTAGCTATAGCTAGTTGTTACAACTATTCTCTTTAAGACAGGAAGATGAGAGCATTAACACTGCTGAGTGCACTCCCTTTGATTACCTTACGTAAGTAACAAGAACATAATCTTTCGGGGCTTGTTGTCTCCCTCGTTGAGTTCTTCTGGGGACCTGCTACACTGCTCTCGTTTATAATTTGAGTTCCAGTTCCTTTGTCAACATGCAACTCGAGGATTTTCCAAATGGGTTGCCTCCGGAAACCTTTGCTGCGAAGTTGCATGCAGCGACGAAGAGCGGCGATTCAGATGAGGTTCTCAACTTACTGCAGAGTATAGGCGCGGCTCCGTCAGCGTCTTCTTCATCTGAGTGTATGACCAAGAAAGGGCCTGCAAGAACTAATGAGGTCCCACCTGCAGGATTGACTCTATTGAACTACTCGGTCGATGCTCCTGATATCGATCTCTACACGCCGTTGCACCGCGCAGTGGAGAGTGGCCACGTTGATGTCTGCAAGATCTTGCTAGACGCAGGCGCCGACGTGAACGTAAGCCATCCAGGTCTCGATGGTTGGACGCCTCTGCACTTGGCATGCTGGCAGAACGAGCTCGCAATTATCGACTTGCTAGTCCAGAGAGGTGCAGACGGGGAGGCGAGGGATTGGTACTAAGAAAGCTTATGCTTAGGATGATCTGATGATGATGATTATGATGATGGTGCTTGTGAGGATCAGATGATATCTGATGAGGATGATATCTGATGAGGATGATATTTTTTTAATGATGATGATGATGATAGCGGAAATGTCAGAAGTTTAGTGGGCTAGAACTCCTAGCAGAACTAGCTTGAGGAAGCTTAGTTTAGAACTTAGATCTTTTCGCTAAACGCGTCTGTGTCTACGCGTCATATAATTTGTTTTCATTCATGTTTGCGATTTTCACCGTGGTAGTTTTTTCAAAAATTCGAGAACAGCCAAAAGAGTCAAACTGGTGAAAATGAGGTGCGTTTTCACCATAGGTACGCTAATACGGCTCGCGATCTCGGTGAAGAAGCGACGCAAGCACACGTCGGCAGGCTACTCGATGCCAAAAAGGCGAGTCAGGCACAGGCTGGGATAGTACGCGTAGGGGCTACCACTGCAATAAAGGGACAGGGAGGAGGTGCCACTGGCACTGCCAACAAGATGAACGACGGGTCAGCAGCAGCACCAGTAGTACGCGAAGATGGGGCTGAATGGAAGGCACAGAATTTAACAGCACCCTGCTCCATGACGGTGTCAGAGGTACAGGCAAGAATGATAGAGTTTTCTATAAAACACTGTCAAGAAAACGACATAGGAGGAGAATGGCAACCGAAGTGATCACATGCACCGTATATCACGTATTATCATTTTGTTGTTGATGTTGATTACCCATAGTATTAGTAGTACTGATGTGTCATGTGCGCTTCATTTTGGTTTGTTAGCCTTCGGCGTTTTCTAGGTCTAAGTTGTGCAGCTTGTGGTCTTTGGCCAGCTGACCAGATTCGGCTACTACTCGCAGATGCTTAGTAGACTTAGACAGAGGATCGGGCGGCATGTAGTGATAGTAGTATGTATGAAATAAAAAAAAGTACTAGTCCTAATTTTTTGTAAAATACGTAGACGCCGCATCGGTTGCGTATGCCCCCTATCGGGGAACTGCGTGGCTCTTTAGAGGGGTCGACCGATGGCCACGCTGGGGAAGACGGCCAAGCGTTCACCCTGTCCACGCCTTTCCCCCAGCAAGAGCAGGAGTCGCCTGCCCGTCTGCCTTTTCAGTGCAGCACCAGCGCCAGAAATGGCGCGGGAGAGCAGGGGCCAGCAGACCGCTGGGGGCCCTGGGCTTCCCCTGGGAGATCGCTGGCCCACTCCCTAGCTGCATTAAAAGGCGACAGAACATTAGGCATTATTTTGAAATGTTCTAACATTTTTCAAGGGGAAAAAAATAATGTTCTAATGGGTTTGAAAATGGCGCGAAAAGGTGCCACTTTCAACCGCATTAAAACTCTTTTCTTCGACACCGCAAAACTCCAGACTCTAATGCGCGTGAGCCTAAAAAAGTGGGCATTTTTTTCTAGCAGGACTAGAAAAAAATGCTCCAACAATTTAGGCTCACCACAAGCAGCACTAGAATCGGGACACTTTTGATCGAAAAAAAAATGTTCTAATGGGTTGCAAAAGGTGTCACGAAGTGGCGCCTTTTGCAACCCGTCAGACGACGTCGGGACCCCAGTCCAGCCAGCGCCAAGGCGAGCCTTGGCCTCGCCAGGGCGTTGGGCCGTCATGGGTAGAACCTTGCGCGCAAGGCGTAACTAACGAGGCCACGCCGCCGCCGCTTATCTGCGTCGCAGCGAATCCCCACACGAGCAGGGTGACCAGCTTGACACCGCCAGCGTATTCCAGGAAGCGCCACAGTGCCACCAGGTGGCACAGAAAGGCAGGAGCGCGGGCACCGATATTAGGCGCCAAAAACGCGCGAGGCATTTCAAAGAGCTGCGGCCCCTTGAAAGGCGCCACTAGCTTGCCGCAACTCAGGGCACTCGCCTAGTTGTGGCATCTATCAAATTTACAAACTTCTAGGACTACTAGGACTTTTTTTTGTGTCATAGTATGCACTTGTACTCGATCTGAAGATTCTGTACAAGCATCACCATCTACATTTTTTCAAAGGATAAACAATCTAACGAAACTGGTTTATTCTAACACAAGAGAGGAGTTGTACAAGTTCAAGTACGCCTTGAGTTGATTTGTGCATCGACATCTAAGTAGGTCGCCACCCTGACCCTTTTGGATATTGGCAACGATAAAACTAGAAGGTTATTACCAAAACGAAGTAAAGGTAATGCTAAAGGTATCCATACATAACTACAAAACGATCTCACTCCGAGAGAGACTTCGAATATCGATTGACAAGTTATAATAGAAGCAGAGTATTTTTGAACACTCCCTCCATCATGGTTTGATTTTTGGTTTTTACCTTAGAAAAGGTATGCATGTTGCAATCACATTCGTGCGAAAAAATTCTTTTTATCGGCCTTGAGCACTATCGGAATATATTGCAAATCACATCTACATTGATTAGCGTTTTTCAATCAGATGAAACTAGAACATGGCCGCTAGCAGAGCTACAGAAGATGCCACCAGAACTACTACGCCGTCTACGAAGAGCCGGAAGACGGATCAAGACGGGAACCTGCTGCAGCCCGTCCGTGAGGTGAAGAGTTTGGGTTTGCAGATCCGTCAGTTCGATCGGCAGAATCCGGACGAGCTTTTAGCTGTCCAGAAGTTGTATTTGAATGGTATGGTCAATCAAGGTGACACCGAGAGCGTCCGGTAGGGAAATACGTGGTTTGCAGAAGTGAAAATGAAGGAAGACTTGGCGGACATTGGAAAGGCAGGTCAAACTGTGGACGGTGAATCAAATCCTATCCTATCCTTGGAAAGTATTGCTTGGATATTGCTGATGGAAAAGCGGATGGGCGCAAAGCTGGAAACTCCTGGGGAGAAACGGTTCTCCTACTTATAAGAAAAACTATGAGGCAAATGAAGAAGACTATGACCAAGAAAGAGAAGCAATGGCTGAACGTCGTGAACCTCAAAAACAACATCAAGAGTGGAAAACTGCGGCTAAACTGAATGGAGTCGGTGGAACATCTTGCTCAGCAACATCACCCTCTGCACCTCCGTCACAAACTTCCACGACCACGGCTGAAAGAATTGTTGGATGCGTTGGCTGCCTGCCGTATGACCCTGGGGCCGCGCTTGCGTCGCCGTTTTATGACGACCCTAAATAATACGCAAGGCCCACAAGAAAAGCTGAAGACGAGAGCAGCCCTTTCAGAAATAGTCACATCGGCACAAGGTGGATGTAGTAAGAACGCAGGACAAGGACAAGATGTTCCACCTACGACCACGGTGGACGTGGAGATGAGTTCTTGCAGCCTCACGTGGCATGGTACTGGTAGTACAACTAGTAGTGGTAAAGTAAACGATCATGGTACCCCAGCAGGAGCAGAGAAACTGACTCGAATCCATTGGAGTCAAAATAAAAGCAAATGCGGGCTCAGGACCATCTGTGAACTTCAGCGCATGCCTGTCCATGAGGAATTTCGAAGGATGGGCATCGGTCAAAGGCTCGTCGACCATCTAGAAAAATGGGCCGCCAGAGAAGCCGGCCATGCAGCTCGCGTGCTCACCGGTGTTGCGTCTAATTCCTTCGAAAGGACTGGGTCTCTACCGTAAGCGTGGCTATGAAGATGTTGGGCCTCCAGTGAAAATCGCGCTTTTTGGTGTCTCCGGAGACCCAAAATATGAAGGTTTGCCGCGCGTCGGCCTGCAAACAATGTGGAAAAAGCTTGATGCTGGAGCAGGAAGGTGACAACGATGCTCATGCTCTCATACATGATTAATATGTCTTCGCATTTCTTCATCTTGTTCTCGGGAATGAGGGGCACTAGCTACTCAGTAACGGTGGTCTGCAGAAAGCGGGTTGACGTTGATCATTGAGGAAGATCCGAAACGAGATGCTTTTTCCACTAATTATTTTTTGCAGAGCTTGGAAATGGAATTCCATAATTGCTGTGGTGGCAAGAAGTCTTCTAACGGTAGTGGCTTTGGGTGACAGAATGTGCAGTCTCATGGAAAAAAAGCTCCAGCGGAAGAATTGTGTCGCTGCGGTCGCTAACCGAATTCCCATTGAAGTAGACACATCAAAAAATTACTGTAATAATATTGTCTTCATGCTTTAGACAACTTGCTTTTGCTAAGTAGAATAACGTAATGTCTCATGGATGTTAAGTATTTTTTTTGATGATCCTGATTTTTTATTCAACTTTTTTGTTTTTTGATAGGAAAGAAGGAACTACATTATCTTCACTGAATAGAAAGCTTCTTGTTGAACATGAACCAGAAATGGTACATGGACGAGCTGAGGTGTGTTCGTGACATGCGCGATTCGTATCATCACGACCATGCTACACAGACGATTCGTGTATGTGAGACCCTTGAGATGAGTGTGATCTGGAGGCGCTGAGTCGATAGAAGAGTAAATGAAGAAGAGTACGCCTCTTCTTCGGTTCACATCCATAGATAAGCACATTCGGGATTCCAATTCTGGAGGGTGAGCGAGTTTTCATGAAGTCAACATTTATTAAGAGCTCACGAGGGCGTGAAGATTGTGACAACATGATCAGTAAAGTCCTCGAGTCTATTGAGTTCTCTCCGTGATTGCGGCGATATGGATATATATTACGGGTAGATCTTTTCTATAATTCTTGTTTAGAGGACCTCAACAGGAAGCTGTGATCGAATAGAGAAACAGGTCAGTCAGATCCACTAAGCCAGGTCGGAAAAGGAGGATATGAGCGGAATTCTTCTCTGTCTGCTGATACCGTTGCCGTTCTTACATAGATTTTCTGGGTATCTATTGAGGACTTTAAGTTGTTCTTTCATCGTAAGTTAATAGTATTATACATAATGAGCAGATGAGGCAAAAGTAACTACACGACCACAAGTAAAAGTAGAACATATTGAAGGAAATCATAACCAATCAAAAAGAATGACTTTGTGCTCGCTTTACTCCGATCTTGCTCTCCCTTTCGTTCGGGCGAACGGGATGTTTGTTTCCGCATTCAAGGGAAACACCCAGTGAGGCTCTATGGAACATTGCAGACTACCGAGCACCAGATCGAGATTGCTTACCGTTCGACGGTTCTAGCGTGAACATCAATCTTCACCACGCTTGGTTGGGTTACATCCCACAATAGAGAACAAGGTCATTAACCCGATCGCGATCCACTAGAAGGCTTTCGACTACTTACGTAGAAGCTTTGACGTCGTTTAGCTGAAAAATATTATGCATTACGGCATCAAGATCAACTATTCAATAAAGATGCTGGTGCTATTGTCCTCTCCCGCCTGCTTGGTGGTGGCGCGGCGTGTCGCTGTCCTCGTGTTTCTTCGCACTTTCCTGCCTCTACTGGAGGGTGTGCACGGCGGCGCGTTCTCCCGTTTTGAGTCTGCGGAAATCGGTTTCGCCCGTGACCGCTTAGTGCGGGAAGCCGGTACAAAAACCGACAAGGAGGACATCCGCAAGGCCTATCGTCGACTGGCGCTGCGTTTGAATCAGAATCTGTATGGGAAAAACTCGCAACTGGAGGCTCAGATGCGCATGCTCAACTTGGCTAAGGATGCATTGATCAAGGGCGAAAAACTGTCTGCGGATGACGACGTCGCAGCCGCCGCCGACAAGGGAGAGCACGTCGAGGAGGGCCGGCAGCTTGGGGCTGGAAAGCGGCTTTCTGAAGACATCGCCAAGTCCATGCGTGGCTGGCAAGAGGAAGCGGTGGAGAACGGGGTCAGATTCGATGACCCAGACGACGAATTTGAGGGGAATACGCAAGTGGCATTCGACGAGGCACTTTTCACGCAAGTCCTGCAGGATCCGACCCACGAAATAAATCGTGGCCGCATCTGGCAACGCGTGAGCCGTCAGAATGAAACGCTCTCGGTCGCTTCGAAGCGAGTCATCGAACGCAGAATGAATCTAGCACTTCAAGCGTGCGGATGGCAGGAGGGAGCAAGTACTTCTTAGATTAGTAAGTAGCACTTGATGCAGTTGCACCTTGTTGAATCATCTACTTCATTTTCTATTTATTTTGATACGACAGATACACCTCAGAAGCGTCATCTATAGGAGAACTACAGTTGTTCTCATTCTCGATTGATAATGTAAGTAGTCGTCACTCGTGATTCAAATCATTTCGAGTTCACAGCTTGGTGACCGTAGTTTCGACGCAGAGGACGTATCAAAGATCGACGCTGTCCTTATCAGGATTTTTTCGCTCTTGCTGTGTTGCCATCGACGTCATATGCATGAGTTTTTCTTCTTTATCTTTTGAGAATGATGTTATTGTTAATTCTTCCAATCAATGTCTACGTCCATTTTATTCTTTCCGATCACAAGCACAATTTATCAATAAAATACAGTGGAAGTGAATTCTCCTATGGAGATGGTGCATGCCTTAGAGGAGATCGCGAGCGTTCAGTGGGACGGTCGCAGCTACACGTGTCCGTCTTCTTCTCAGTTCTTTGACGATGAGGATGAAAGTGCTGACGCGGAAGATGATAGCACTTTTAGTAAGGGTGCTGGGTCCAGTAATCGTCGATCACGACCCTGCTCGCCCTGCGGTAAGCGGATCTCCAGCGACAATGCCTTAAAGTCTAAGCTGTTCACGTTTGCGCGCGAGTTACGAGGCATTGTGAAGATGGAACGGCTGCAGGAGCTGGAGAAAAGTCGAGCCGGCAAGAAAGTGGTAATGGCGGAGGAAGAGGAGCAGCTCAAGGTTCAAGTAGGCGAAGCTACCGATGACCTCGATAAGGTCGAGTTGTCAGATGTTCAGCTCGCGGACCCCTTCTGCAAGCAACGAGGCACAACGACTTACGAATTGCTGAGCACGCGTTTCAACGATTTCCAGTATTCGAAAGTCGTCGATGCTGCGTTTCCCTTGGACCCGTGCGCGCTTGTGGGCCTCGAGCAATTCGTGAAGGAGAAGACGGCGACGCACTCGCAAATCAAGGCCAATTTCACGGAAAGTGCAGAGGTGGACCGCAAGCTCATTCAAGGCTTGCGCGGGTTACTGGGAGTGCAGCAGGCCAAATACAACGCGCCAATCGGGCTCGACGCGCTGAAGAAAGCGGCGCAAAGAGCCGCGGCGGCCACCAAAAAGAACGCGCGTGAAGATAAAGGAGACCGCAAGGAAAAGAAAGGCACGGATAGTCCGGGTACCACTGCACGCGAGCGCCGTAGGCATTCGGACCCAAGCTACAAGACCAAGCGCAGACGCTCAAAGGAGCAGGCGGACACGCAACGGCGGGAAAAGGCCGCTAAGCAGCGGGCACTCGTTCCCGCGGAGAAGCGGGAGGAGGAGCAGAAGCAGAAAGAGTTCGAGCACAAACGACATCGAGTTTGCCTAAGTAAAAAACGAAAGGAAGAAAGCGAACGAGCCAATACAGCGGAGGCAAAAGAGGAACAGAGAAAAAGGTACTCAATTATCATACATGTCGTGATTGAGTGTCTGATACATGAATATGAAATAACTGTCGAATATTTATTTTCATATGTGTTAGAGTTAAACTTGATCTTGAAGGTTAAGAATGGATATGACGCTGGACAGGAATTGTGCGACCTCGAAGACTTCTGATAGTGCCACAGCAGGAGGCCGTCGCTACATAAAACTGTCGAGATTAATCTTACACCTTCAGCGCGCCCTCTCCGCTTCTTCATGCTTTGAAGCAATTAGAGGAGACTCTGTGGCAGGGCACGGGTTTCCCCGAATTGCACGAATCCGCTGCCAAAGCCATCGCCGAGCTCTCTGAAACACTGCAACTGCAGCGCGTTCTCGTTGAGGAAAACTTAGAGACTTTGCACAACATCGAGCCGCTGCACGATCCTGCCACACAGCCCGTGTTTCCGCATCTCTCCTTTCCTGGACTGGCACTACGGCCTTATATCGTGTATGAGACAGGCATGATCCGAGAGTGGGGAGACGAATGGGGTCACGAGAGACGCGCATCTTCACGCAAGAAGACTGAAGCGCAAGACGAAAGCGACACGAAGGGCGAGAGGACGAAATCCACTGGGGGAAGTGCGGCTGGTCAGGAATCACCATCATCGTCCGGGAATAAGAGCGGCGAGCAAGGGAGCCAGGGCGAAGGACACGATTTAGGGTCTGGATTTTACGGTGACGAAAATGATCGTAGTGATGAGTCAGAGTCAGAATCTGGAAGCTCGAGTTCTTCATCCTCCTCTCACGGTGATCACTACAGCGATAGCAGTACACAAGACTCCTTGACTGAGTGGCATCCTGTGAAAGTTGCACTAGGGTATCTGGATTTGGTGCCGTATTGCGACATGCAGAGCCAAGTCGTTGGTTCGTTTTTGCAGGCTGGGTTCTGGTTTTATAAGGCGTTGCAGAATCTCGACGAGCACTGCGGGAATGACGACTGGCAGAGCGACTTTGTAATTCCAGAGTTGCTCTCGGCTCCCGCTGAAATTCGACAAACTGCCATGATCTACGCACTGAAAAAGGCCTCACTCGAAATGCTCGACACCGCAGTGCAAATCGCAAGTCACCTCGTTGCACCGAATGTCCGCTTCATGCTCATGCGCACAGCGTTGCGCGTCCGATCATCGCTGCTGCGCGACTATGGAACCTTGGACGACGTACCCAAACTCGTGAAACTTATGGTAGATCGTCTCTTCTTTCCAGAACTTTTAGTTCCATACGACTTTTCTCAAGAAGAGGGAGACGAGCTTTTTTTTACTTGTGACTAGAAGAAAGACTCATGGTCAAATCTGGATATTGATCATTCCCTCTGATCTCCAACACGAAGGACTTTTTAATGTTCACGTTGACTCACGTTGAATCCACAACCTCTCGTCGATCTCAAATTCGATTTCCCTCCTGGCCCGTCCTTCTGTTGGTTGGATTGTACGTATTTCTCTAAGCCTTTTTACTTGGACTACCGCAAGTTGCAACAGTTTGCGCCTTTCTGGCGCCCTCCAGCAATATTGATCGGAGATATGCTATTCGCGGATGTGCTCAGTGGCAGACTGCAGGAGGGCTTCCTGTCAGGTGTTTTCGGTCTAGACCCAATCGTCGCTCCGGTTTCCCGTAAAGACTTGCTTTTTGCTAAGTACGAGTCGGACTTGATCCAACACGCACCGGATTTCGAAACTTCGCGGTACGACGCTATGACGGCAGCGCTAGAGGAAATCATGGCTGCGGGTGGAATCATGGTCAACACCACGACTGGTGCTTTGATGATCGCAGATGGCCAAGAAGGGACTGGTGCGAGTGAAGATTGGACCCTCCA